ATATTGGCCACCTGGAGGCACAAGGCATACTACTTCCAACAGGAGGTGATAACCTTCAGAGGCACCAGGGGACGAACATTCTAAAAATCAGAGTGGCTGGTGAGTGTTCATTTCTGCAATCACATATGCCTGGATAACGATGCTGAAAGAACACTCAAATTCCTCTATCATGACTATGCAGTTATTTCCTAGTTAGGCCTCCACCATTAGATTTAGGGGGAAAGGACAACTGAAGTTCTTGCCTTTTCTGCTATTCTGTAGGGTAAATGTCTAGGTGAAGGAGTTTGTCTTAGTTGATGACAGCATTAGAAATATAACATATTGCCTATATAAGCTTCATCACACATGAAATAATTAACACATGCATTTGTGTGCACATCACACATACCACTACAAACCTTGTGAGGCAAAAATATCCTTGTCTATAAGAGAAGTAAAAGAATATGTTTAACCATAGGGGTAACAAAAAGTGTAAAACTTGAATCCAATTCCCTCCAAACCTAAAATTTGGCATTTTTTAAATTTTTTTTTGTTATCAATGGATCTTTATTTCATTTATTTATATGTGGTGCTGAGAATCGAACTCAAGGCCTCACACATTTCAGGCAAGTGTCCTACTGCTGAGCCACAGCCCCAGCCCAAAAATTTGGCATCTTGACCCCCACACACATATACTTCCAAACAAAATCTAGACCTTTAGAATAAGCCCAAAAATTACCCAGGACACAACTCAGTCAAATCTTTATTGAGTAGTTACTAGATGGTGGAGAAAATGGAACCCAGAGAAATTAGACCCATGTCTGTCTTTATTTCTTATGAAGGAAGAGCAAACAATGTGGAATGAATGAATTCGTTCTGTTCACCTCACATGTGATATAGAACTAGGCTGATTGGAGATTGCAGAATGTTCACTAGACTTGGGAATTAGTTGGTTCTGCTGGAGATTAACCACTAAGCAAAGAATTTCTCTGTATTTTTTTTTTCATCCTGTGAAATGAAGGGATTAAATGATCTCTGGGATATCTTCCAGCTCTTACGTTATAACATTACAGCTCCTTGTATTTTCAGCTGCCCTGATTCTTCTCCTCAAAACTTGGGGCAAGATGTTATGGGAAAGCAAAGTCCATATAGGAATTCATGTTTTTAAAAAAAAGACATCTTTCATGACCAGGAGAGGGCAGGAGAGATAGATTAGGTGTGAGATTTACAGCAGAACTCCCAGGACAGTTTCTGGAAGATCTGCAATCATTGGGTTTGGTATTTGGTCTGTGCACTTGCTGCCCACCTGCTCTTTATGATAATCTTTTATTTAGCCAAATCCAGAAATTCAATAAGATAGGTTGGAAACTTCTGCCCTGGACAGTACTGAAGTTGTAGTCCACAGAAAACAACTCTCCTTTCCTATTTCCACTCCCCACTGCCCCCACACACTTGCCTAACTTCCCTATTCATGCGTGTGTGTATCACCTGTGAGTGTATGTGGAGAGCGGTGATTTGGACCATGGTCTTTAACTGACTTAAAGCTGTGGCTGCCCTTTGCCAAGGGAATATTCTGTGCAAAGGTACAGGATGTGATTTCCCAGGAGCTATGGCAGTGCCCTGATTGAGGAAGTTCCAAGCAAAGATGCGGAGTGTTTCATGCAAAGGCATGGAACCATAACAGTCTTGACCTTGAGCTCAGACACCAGCTGCTGGGGATAGAGAATTCTGAGCATAACAAAATAACCACAATATCTTGCAAGTGCTGAGACCTTTAAGCCTGCCTGCTTTGGAGAAATTTTCCCACAAATAACTTTTGGATGATAACACCTATATAATAAACATGCTGTGCTAGCACTGGGTCACTGTTCCTCCCAGAGATCGGTGTCCCACCCAGTCCCAGTTTTCTCTTTGTAAATGTTTGTGAGTCTTTATTAATCCCCCATCACCCCTCGCCAGTCTTTAGGGTTAGCTGTGCGGGTTGTGGCAAGCATAAACTCAAGGTTGGATAGGAGTTGCCAGCCCTTACCACATGCCTTGTAATCAACCCCTAGACCATGAGCTCTATGAGTACTCACCTGCTCAATTCACGGCTCCATCTCCAGCACTCAGAATGGTGCCTGGCACAGAGTAGATGATCAATATATATTTGTGAAATCAATGGCTTTGTTTCCATTCTGTCTCCCTTACTAGATTAAAAGGATCTACCTTGAGCAACTGCAAGCTCCATAAGGACAAGAAAACCCCGTTCTTATTAGTCTTTGGATTCCTATCATTGAGCAAAATATCTAAGACACACTAGCACAAAATAGATCTTTGCAAAAATAGAACTGATAGAAGTGCAATAGAATAATCCAGATAAAGAGAGAAGTCAAAGATGTCTCCAAAGAGATAGTCATCTCAGAATTGCTTTACTAAATAGTACTCTGCTTAGCAGAACTTGAAGCTGACTGTGACCTGTGATCCTCTTATGGAAAGACTGTACAAAATGAGAAGCAGCAGACTTCACTGAAAAATCACATATCTTTAATATTTTTATGGGATTACACACTGTCAGGCCCTTTACCCAAGTTTTTATGAGTCAATCCTGGAAGCCCATACTACTCAGGTCCTCTTCTTGCACATTTATCATAGAAATGCTCTAAATAGACCCCATCCCATAAAATCTTTCATTTGTCTTCTAGAATATCCACCTCTCAATAATGAGATTCCCAGACGCCCATCTCTCCAAATACTCCTGAACCTTCTTACCTTAATTACTCTGCTTTGAGGACCCTGCTCCTCACTGTGGCTCTCAGACCACTGTTCCCCACCAAAAGTCCCTTAATTTGACATGTGTGCCATCACACTGTCCTGCTAGAGGATCAGTCTTAAAACATGCTCTCTTGAACTCACATCTTCTTCCTGCTACTACTCAATTTGATTCCTCTCCACTCGCTTTTCTGAAAAAAATGTATCCAAAAGAGTTTTCTGGACTTGCTGTTTCCAATTCTTGTTCTCTTGTTATCTCTCTCACCTATTCTATCAGACATTCTTTCCTATGATTACACAACAGCAGCTCTTTCAAGGTCAACTGTGACCACCACAAGGCTAAATCAAGCACCAGTGCCCAAGCCTCCTCTTTCTTGAGCTCTCAGTAGCATTCCTGCCTCTCTGGGCTTCCAAGCGTTCTGGCCATTCTCTCAAACACCTCTGTTGCCCCCAATTTCCCCAACCTTGAAACACTGGAATGCTCAGGATCTCCTCGGATGCTTCTTTTCCAAGCTACATCTGTACACACTGACATCTGGGTACGGTTATGTAATTTATAGGGCCCGGTGCAAAATAAACTGTGGGTACCTTCTTTAGAAATTATTAAGAATTCAAAACAGCAGCAGTAAAACATTAAGGCAAGTGCAAGGCTCTTCCAAGAGCTGGGCCCTGCCCATCTTCAAGCAAGAATGCCTGGAACCAGTCCTACTAAGACAATTGTTGAATTTGTATTTCTGACCTTGAACACACCCCTACACCCCAGATTTATAAACCCAGCTACCTACTAAGCATACCCACTATACTCTCTAATGGGCATCTCAGGTGTGATACGGTCAAAACCAAATTCCCTCAACCCTCCCACCTCCAAAGGAGAACCTGTTCCTCTGCAGTCTCCTCATCTTAGCAAGTGGCAGTATTCTTGCAGCTTCTCAGACCAATCGCCTTGGAGACACCTTTGATTCTCCCTCTTTACAAGGCCCTCATCCAAAGCATAAGCAAATACCCTTGGCTGTACCTTCCAAAACAGAAAGGTTGTCCCCACCTTTCCCCACTCTGCTTTCACATTGGTACAACACACCCCTAATAGATTACTGCAGCCCCTCCCAATTGTCTCCCTGTTTCCACTCTTTCTCCCTTGTCTAGACCCTGAAGCTGATGGTCCTTTCAAGAGGGAGGTCTCCCCAAAATGAATTTGAAAGTGCCCTGACTTTGCTCAAGTTTAACAAACCTTCATCAAAATTACCTAAGAAGCTTGTTTCCCTCTCACATTACTCAACTACTGAAATATGAAAGTCGCTTATTTTTCTATGCCTATTTTCTCAAAACAGGAAGAGGGCAAGTGACCCCAGCTCTAAACCCTGAACCTTTCTCTTGTCTCCCACTTGCCGAGAGTCCTGAAACAGTAAGAAACCAAATCTTTAGAAGGTCCTTTTTCAATCTTGCATTACCTAGCGTCTAGCTAACCCATCATGTGTCATAACCACAGATCAGCCAATTCCACAAGATCATGGTTTCTAAATATGTTATATAACATAACAAAGGACTCAAACCAGGTGAGTGGTTGGGAAAGCTGTATTTGAAGTACCCAAGAATGCTACTGTTTTCAAGGATTTCAGTCGCAATCAATATGTGGAGCCTGAATGTGAGTCTGTCTGCCTGCCTGCCTGTCTTATCTGTGTGAGCTTCTGGACACAGTGTTTGCACCGGTTATGGTGAGCTAGTATACGTCGCTACTGTGCGCGCGAGGACCCGGGCCCCAGGTGATAGAAAACACTCCACTGCTCTGGCTCTTAGAACTCTGCAAAAGACACTGCACAACGCGACGCGGCCGCCAGCAGGTTAGGCCAAAAGTCCCCAGAGCCGACCAACCGCGCGCACCGCCGCTGGGAACACTGCCGGCAACTGCGGCTCTAGTAACGTCCATCAGTCGCAGCAACGCGTGGGGCGCACGGGCATGCGCGCAATGCGCACACACGTACACACACACACATACACACACACCTGTACCAGGCGGATCTGGGGTCTCTGACGCCCGCCGCCCCCTTTGCCCGAGCATTGGTCCGTTTAGCCTCCTAGGTGCATTGGCGCCACCCCATCCCCAGTACAGAAAGAGCGTGGAGTGAGCGGGTCCTGCAGCCCCAGCAGCCCTGGGAGGAGGGGGGCCAAGCACAGGGCGGGGCAGTGTCACATAACAGCGGGCGCGCCGCCCCCGCCCCCAGCCCGGGCCCACCCTCCCCGCCGCGCCCCTCCCGGCTCACCCACAGACGAGCCGATCCTCGCCCTCCGCTGCAGGGACATCTTAAGAGCTTTGTCCAGGCCTGCACCCTTCAGCATCGCGCCCGTGTCGCTGACTCGGCCGCCCCGGGTGAGCGGAGAAGGCTGAGCGCAAGGCTGGGCACAGGGGCCGCGGCGCGAGGGCCATGGGAGAGCCGGCGACTCTCTGGGCTACGGACTGGCGGGGACCGCCGGCGCCCGTGCCCCACCGCCGCGGAGGCTGCGCGGTTCGTGCCGCAACGGCCAATGCGGCAGCGCCCGCGAACGCCACCGCTGCGGGCCCCGCTGGCCCGGGCTGCGGCGCGGGGGGTGGGGGACCGGCAGTGCTGCGGAGAACCCCGCGGGAGGAGGAGCGGGCTGGGGAGGCTGGGAAGGACCGCAGCACTACGCAGGACCGGGGGCTTTCAGGTGGCGGGGAATGCAGTACAGTGAGCTGATGGGGGATTGGATTGGTGCTTTAGGGAGGCTGTTCTAGAAGGTGGCAGCCCGGGGGGATTCGGGGTCTGAGCCTGTTTGCTACCTATTTGCCTGCTTGTCAGTTGCCATATGATGCAAGCGGAGGCAGTGTAACTCCTGACCTTCTACTTTTTCGCAGTTTCTGAGTCTGGCCTGGTGTTAACTGCGTAGTTTCTTCATGAAACAGATATTTCCAAGATATCTGATGTATGGCCTCGAAACTCAGAGAAGTCCTGGATCTGCAGCCCCCTGGCTCCCACCCATCACAGCCTGTCTAGAATTCTAAATAGTGGCATGTTAGAGCTATAAGAATAGTGCACCTAACCACACGCACACCAGCACCTTCTTGCATAGAAACAAAATTATTGAGAGGTAAGGTGACTTGTCCAAGGTCACTCGATCAATTTTTGTTTTCTTTTGTCAGTGGATGTTTAAACTGCTTGGTCCTCTGGGCAAATTGAGAATATCTGATGAAATTCTGACCTAAGTTAAAAATTCAGGTAAGAGTCTAATCATGTGTATACCGATATGATCATTTCATTTTACATAAAGTAAACACCAGGGACGGACAAGGAGAACAAAGTTCAGAAAGAATCAATGGCTGTTTCAGTCAGCTTTTTCACTGCTGTCACCAAAAGACCTGACAAGAACAATTTTAGAAGAGGAAAAATTTATTGTGGCTCACGGCTTTCTGTCCACAGATAGCCAGCTCCATTGCTTTGTGCCCCAGGTAAGGCAGAGCATCATGGTGGAAGGGTGTGGTAGAGGAAAGCAGCCCAGGACTTGGAACAAGGAACGAGAGAGAGAGAGAGAGAGAGAGAAATTGCCCTCACCATGGACAAAATATATATATATACTCCAACGGCACATCCTAGTTAATACTCAATTAATCCCTATCGGAGGATTAATGCACTGATTAGGTTGACTCTCATAACCCAATCAGTTCACCTCTAAACTTTCTTGCCTTGTCTCACACACGCACTTTTACGGGACACCTCATATCTAAACCATAATACTAGGGATAGACAAGACTAAGTGCCGCCCCCACCCCCACCCCAGCTCCTCCTGTCTAGCCTCTGCTAAGGATTTTTCTTAGGAAAATCCAGAAGGGATGGGAAACTTGTACTGAAAAGTGTAGGCTATCAACAGACTGGACTAAATTTTAGTTTCAAGTTCGATTTCTTGTCTGTCTATTCAAAGTGTTTCCCATTATAAATTAATCTATAGGGAGAGTTGAAGACAAAAAAAAAAATTCTTAAGCATTCAGCTGAGTTTCAGGGTGGATGTGTTTTCTTTGAGTTTTCCTACCCGCTGAGAATGTAAAGCTGGAGTTAATCCTAGCACTGAATTTGTCAAAACTTTGCCCCTAGTGATTTAGCACATTTTCCGTTTATAATAACCCCTTGAAGGCTAAGCAAATTTTTGAAAAGGACTTGAAAGAATAAGATTTTTTCAGCCCCAAACTTTAAGATCAGTAGAAAACTTTTGTTGTTAAATATAGAACATTTACAGACCTACCCAGTGTCCTACCCTGATTTCACACAACCCCATTACTGCTTTTATTTCCATGTTTATATTGCAAAAAAAATAACAAAAACTGTCCTGACAACTTTGTGGGAGTTTAAGACAGTTCAGTTGGCACACTTTGAACATCAGTAACATGAGCCCATTCTTTCTTATTTTGGCTGCATGGTCCTAAAAACAATCAGCTGGGATCCTTCTTTCAAGAAGCTATTTTACACAAATGAAGCTGATTGTAGTGGCACATGTCTGTAATCCTAGCAACTGGGGAGGCTAAAGCAGGAGGCTTGCAAGTTCAAGGTTAGTCTCAGTAATTTAGCAAGACCTTGTCTCAAAATAAAAAATAAAAAGGGTTGGGTATATTGTTCACAAGTAAAGCACTCCTGGGTTCAATCCCCAGTACAACAGCACTTAAAAAAAGAATAAAAAAAGCTTCAAGCCACTTCTTAAGCCCCCTTTCTTCAAACTGAAAAAGTTCTGTTTCTTTTGTCTGTTAGTTTCTGCAGTTCTGGAGATTGAACCCAGGGGCTCAGGCATACTCTACTATGCAAGGGCACAACTACTGAACTATACCTTAGTCCTAGCCCTGTTTCTTTTAAAAATTTGTGTGTTTCTTTATATATATATATATATATATATATATATACACACACGCACACACACACACACTTTTAAAAGAAAATGGCATATATATTTGGCATATTAAAAATATATTACTCACCCATATATCCACTCCCCAGTTTAGGAAACATTACAGTACAGGCCCAATGGGAGACTATTTACCTTCCCCTAATCCCTTTCTTTTCTTTCTGTTCCCCAGACCAACTTCCTTTTATCCTTTCTTCATTGAGTGTCTTTTTTCTTTCCTTGTTATTATTTACAGACTAATGAACTAAAAGTCAATCCTGATAGTAATAGGCAAGGGTCCAAGGTGGACCATTTCGTTGAAATCTTTTTTCTATGAGGTTCTTACTAACCCATTAAGTCCTAAGTTTTAAATTCTGCAATTATTTCAATTTCAATAAAATTAACATAGGTGCATTAAAATAGGTTGGAAACCGTAATCTAGAGCTTATATATTATTGACTGATACTAATATTAATATAATTATTATATAATTATATCATATAATTATATTATATACTATATTTTTATAGGCATTTCACTTCTGGGGTGATGGGGTAAAATGGGTTATATAAATATATTTTGATTACTTAAATCTTTTCTGAATTCTTCTCATTTTTACACATTGTTATTAGAGAGCAGTGTCCCAAACTGTGCATAGAAGAAATATTCAGAAGAACTGTAAATCTCTGTTTTCCCAATGACAAAAAGGGCAATTGTCCCAGATCCTTCCTCCTCTATCAATCATTTCATTCATTCATTCACAGTCATGTCTGGCATTTGGTGGCTGGCAGCTGGGATTTTAGATGGGGCTGGAAACTGGTGTACTTATACATGGCCTCTCCACCTGGGATTCCTTACAACATGTTGGTTGGAGTTCAAGTGTGAGTTCCCAAGAGAGTATCAGGTGGAAGCTGGTATTGGAAAGCATGGCCTTGGAAGTATGCAGCATCACTTTCACCTTACCCTGTTTGTCAAGGCAGTTACAAAGGCCCTGTCAGTCCAAGGGAGGAAGAAGTAGACTTGACTTTCTGATGGAAAAAGTGGCAAGATTCTGGAAAAGCACAGAGTTGGAAACATCGTTGCAACCACTTTTGGAATTGCAGTCTGTCAGAACTAGCAACATGCAAGATTAATGTTAATAAAATATTATTTATAATTACATCATAATCAAGTAGTAGTCATGGAGAAATTCTTGAAAGATGTGCAAGACCTACATGCTGAAAACAAGGCATTTGGGATCCTAGAGAACAAAATTGAAGGACTTATACTATTTGATTCCAGATCTTTCTATAGTACTAATACTAATCAAGACAAGTAGGTTATTGAAATAATAGAGAGGTTTTTAAAGTATATCCAAGCACATATGGTTGGCTAATTTTGACAGAGACACTAAGACTATTCAATAAGGAAGACAGTCTTTTCAATAAGTGATACTATAACAACTTAATAACCATGTTGGGGTGGGGAGCTTTGACTCGCTAACCACAAAAAAAATTCAAAATGGATCATAAACTTACAAGTGAAAAAAAAAGCAACGTGCAAATCTTCTGGAAGAAAGCATTGAGAATATATTTCACACAGGACGTAGAAAAAACACTAACCATAAAAGAAAACATTTATATAACTGGACATCATCAAAAAAAAACTTCTATTCAAGAAAAGAGACCACCAAGAAAGTAGATAGGTAAGCCACAGACTGAGAGAAGATGTTCACAATACATTCATCTGACAAAGGACCCATATTTAGAATATATAAATAATTCCTGCAACTCAATATTAAAAGACATCTAATTTAATAAAAGTGGTCAGAAAACTGGAACATATTATAGATGAGATATACAAAAGTTTAACCAGTACATGAAAAAGTGCTCAAAATCATTAGTTGTCATGAATAGGCAAATTAAAACAATATTCTATACACACTCACTAGAAGGTCAAAATAAAAAGATTGACTCAAATATTACAAAGGATATTGAACACCAGAACTCATGTTATTGGTAGAAATGTAAATTGTTGGTACTGAGGATAGAACCCAGATGTGCTTAACCACTGAGCCACATTCCCTGCACTTTTTTATATTTTATTTTGAGACAGGGTCTTGCTAAGTTGCTTAGGACCTCACTAAGTTGCTGAGGCTGGCCTTGAACTTACAGTCTCCTGCATTAGCCTCCAGAGTCTGTGGGATTACAGGCATGCACCACCATTCCCATCTTGCTGTATACATTTTTTTAAACTTGTAGTTTCTCATAAAATTAAATATACACCTTCTCTATGACTCATAAATTCCACATCTGATATTTCCGCAAAAGAAATGAACACATATTCTATAAAAATATTCAAAATGTAATGTTAATAGTTGCATTATTCATAATAGACACAAATTGGAAACCATCCAAATACCCATCAACAGGTAATGAACTGGTCTATTCCTATAATGGAATATGACTTAGCAATAAAAAGGAACAAATTAACAAGTACACATTGTGTGTATGTGTGTCTACACTTGTGTGTATGTCTCTCTCTCTTCTTATAAAGCCACCAGTATTCTGTCATGTGCACAACATCCTGATGACCTTTTCTAATCCTGATCTCCTGACAAAGGGTCTACTTCTAAAGACCATAGTTGAATTAAATTTCCACCCTCTTAGCAAAAGCAAAATATGAAAGTTTATATAGTAGGGTTCAATGAAATGAGGTTTAAGGAAAAGCAAAAATAAACTCTATGAGTTAGGTTATAGAGATTTACTGGGAAGGAATTCGAAGGCACTTTTGGAGATGATGGAAATTTTCTATTTTTTGACAAAGAAGTGAATATTGGGTGTATATGTTTGTTAAGACTATCAAACTGTACAGTTAAGATTTATACATTTCACTGGAAATTAAAACTCAATTTTTAAAATGCTAATAGGAAATTAGTTTTTAAAATGCTTGAACTACAATATAATAATGTTATTTATAATAGCAAAAAATCTGGAAATTAGGCCCATGAGATGAGAATAAGTTAAAATTTTTTCCTTTAAAACCCCTAATTCTCTTGAAATCAACAAATTTGGAAGGCTATTTAATGAATAGAGAAAATATTTATAGTGATTAATAATGAAGAAAGTGCAAATGCAAAGCTGTGTGTATTTTGTAATCCATTTTTCAATAGATCACAATTAAGTAAATTCTGTACAATTTATCTTTATTGATATATACCATATATCTGTATATGAAGTATTAAAATACTAACAGTAAATTGGAAATGGTGGTACACACCTGCAATCCCAGGAACTCGGGAGGCTAAGAAAGGAGGATAGAAAGTTCAGGATCAGCCTCAGCAACTTAGCGAGGCCCTAAGCAACTTAGTGAGATCCTGTCTCAAAATAAAAAATAAAAAGGGCTGGGGATGTAACCCAGTGGTTAAGCACCCCTGGGTTCAATCCTGGTACAAAAAAAAAAAAAAGTTAACTGTAATCATCTCTGAATGGTGGTCTTTATTTTCTTTTTTATACCTCTCAGTATATTTCAAACTTTTTACAAAAAGAAATGGTGTCTTCTTAAATGAAGTGTAGAAGTACAGTGAGTCTACCAGCCCAAAGTTATGGCTTCCATCTAAAGCAGGGCTGAACATGTTTCTAGGATGAATGCGCAGGATCAAAGCAAGTTCTGCTTGCTGCTATGGTTTGAATATGGTTGTTCCCTCTGCTCCTGTTGGAATTTAATCCCCATTGATATTAAGAGGGTGAAAATGTAATCTAACTATGGTTTTTAGATATGGGACCTTAAGGAGATTGGGATCAGAAAGGTCATCAGGGTAGAGCCCCCATGATTGAATGCTGGTAGCTTTATAAAAAGAGAGAAGAGACAACAGAGGAAACACATGCTTACGTCCCACCTCTTGCCATGTCATGCCCTTCAAGCAAGAAGGCCATCACCAGGATGCAGCGCTCTGACCTTGGATCAGAGTTGTAAGCCACTAGAACTCTCTTTCCTTTGTAATTTATCTGATCTGTGGTAATGTGTTATTAGCAACAAAGAATGGGTTAATACAGTTGCCAAGCCAAACCCAGGGGACAGAAGGGACATGATAATAAGAGTAAAGCACCTCTGTAGCAGATGCCACACAGCTGCAGAGCACCGGGTAATTCAATAGCTAACACCACAACTTGATGACAAATTAACTAGCTTAATAATAATGATTATCACAGCTAGAATGTTAAGTGCATACATTGGTCATTTACTCTAGCTAAATGAATTACTTGGGTTTTCCCTTTTAATTTTTCAAAATAATACAAAGACGAGTACATTATCACCTCTGTTCTGTAGGTGATAACGGCTTGGAGTTAGAGAAGTTACAAATTTGCTTAAGATCAAACAGGTAAGTAGTCAGTGGAGATAGAATTAAGCTCTTGTCAGAGTGTGTCTCATGGTCACACTCATGATGTTGTGACTATTGCATTCCCCTCCTTCTCCAAAGAAGTCTTTCAACAGAGAAGAGGTTAAAAATAAAAAATAAAAAGTATTTCTCAACAGTGACAGTAGCACAAACCGAAAATCGGACTTTTGTATAAACTGCGTAAAGGGCTTTAATTGAGCATCTGTATTGTCTGTCACTTCTGCTGACTAAAGACCAACAAAGGCAGTTACTATTTTGACCACATGAGCACATGCACTCTCCTACACAAAATGAATTAAAAACTCATATTTTACTAAATTCTGAAATTTCTCATCAACCCTCTAGTCACTGAACATCTGTTGCTTTTTCAGGGTTTATGAATGTTCTCTCCTCACTCTCTGTGATTTGGGGAATAGAACTAACAATATCACAAATACAACTCTTCATCCAAGGAGTGGGCTGGGAGCTTCCCAACCAATTAGGGCAAGTCTCTCTAGAAATCTGGAAGTGATCATGTGATCTCAATAGAAGCAACCAGAGGACTTTAGAGAGGCAGAGTCAGTCACATAAGCCCCCTCCACACACCCCAAGCTTGAGCTCTAGGGAGTCTGTGATTTGAGGGGGTTCCAGAAGCCCTCTTGGCATCATTCAGGAAAGACCTTATTATCTAGCCACAAGATTCATTTCCTGATCACGTTGTTTGCTCTGGTTAGTCTAGCCATTTCTGAAGCTCAGGCTACTTGCTGGACTTTTTATGACAGAATAAATTCCATTTTTTACTTGAGATTATATATAACTCTAGAATGTTTACCTAGAAAGGACTTAGGGAAGGAAAAAAGCTAGAAAACATATCTTAAAGCTGTGGCAAGCACTGCTTTCACAGTTTGGGGATAATGGAGATTAATGGGAATGGAAACTAAATCCCTGAGCCACTCCCAGGAGCAAATGCTAGTTATTATATCACTTGTAAGCAAAACAGTGTGGACTAGTACAAGTCTCTTCATCCTTTCTGCTCCTCTTCTCCTCTTTATCATCAAATTTACCTGGAACATGCTATTATAAAAAAGTGCTGTGTGTAGATGAAAGAATATCACCATCAAAATGAAGCAACAGCATTACTTCTCAAAATGTTTTTCAACACTGCTGACTTCAAAAATAACATGTGCTCATAAGCTCAGCTGGTATGTCGGCTTTCAAACCTTTATTCCCAGAAAACACTGATCTACTTGAATGGGCAAAGATTAGGATCATTCTAAAAAAGAGCTTCCCAGGGTACCATGCTGTCATGTCCTATCACAAAAAAAGAAAAATCTGTAATCTTATATTCTACATTTATTTCTACCTTCTTATTTCCATATATGTGATGCTAGAAGAGTAATTGAGACCAAGATGAATACAGAGCCCATCAGTCAAAAATTGCCCCATCAGTGTCTTCCTTTCATTTACATAATTTTCCAGAAATAAACTACTTTCTAATTTCCATTCCTCAAACGTGTTCTCAATTATTTTCTTTTCTTAGAGAAAGCTTAGGATTCTAAGAATATAAACAGTGGACTTCCACTTATAAATTTTAAAATATCTAAGGGAGGAATTTCAGAGAATTATAAAAACTTTTAAATACTTGGTTCTCTTAGTAACAAATTACACAACTTAAGCGTGGTTACAATGCCATGGGAGACAATTTTCATAGATAAATTTTTACATCAGCATTTATATTAATCCTAGAATATTACTTATCATCAGAGGAAGTTGATCTTCCATTTTTAGATGAATTTGAAAGATAACTGATATATAATTCTTTCCCCTCTTCCTTGTTCTATTCAGTTTCATTCAGTCCCTCTTTCTCTGACTTACACTCTGTCATTGTAAAAAGTTTATTGCCCTTAGGGTTCTCATTTGGGTAGTTTGAATGGAAATCTCATTAAAGAAACCATGAAACAAAGAAATGGAATTTTTTGACCAAATCAATATTGTGTCTACTGACCTTCTTTTCCCTGTACATGAATTAGCAAGCAGATCCCTGTAAGCTCTGAAATTCAATGATAAAAAAAGATAGTAAATTCCATGTGGTATAAAATACCTAGTATTGCTGGACACAGTGGGGCATGCCTGTAGTCTCAGCAGCTGGGGAGGCTGAGGCAGGAGGATTGCAAATTCAAAGCCAGCCTCAGCAACTTAGTGAGGCCCTAAACAACTCAGTGAGACCCTGTCTCTAAATAAAATATTAAAAAGTACTGGGGATGTGACTCAATGGTTAAGCAATTCTGGATTCAATCCCCAGTACATAGAAAAAAAAAAAAAAAACGTAGTGTCACAATAGCATTAACAGCAGTCAACCATGAACGGATACACCAAACCTTTCCTTGCCATCCCTTGAGCCAATAGATATCAGACTTTCACATGTAAGGGAAATTTTGCCACTAATTAAATATTGAACTGCAGATACCCCACTTCCTATCCTCTCCTAATTCAATAAATCTTTATTTATATAAGCCAGTTGTATATGAATTTTTATAAGCATTTTTAAAAATTTTTTTAGTTATAGTTGGACACAATACTTTTATTTTATTTATTTATTTTTATTATGGTGCTGAGGATTGAACTCAGTGCCACGCACGTGGTAGGCAAGTGCTCTGTCTCTGAGCCACAACCGCAGCCTCTTATAAGCATTTTATATTTATGAATATATATATGAATTTAAATTTATATATGTATGATCTATGCCTCCTTCTGAAAAAAAAAACTACTTTAGAGTCAATCCTACTTTCTACATTTTATATAAATAGAAAGCAGAGGAAACTTTCATGTCATTGATCCACCTAGAATGGCCCCCTGAGCATTGGACGGCCAACAATGGCCACTGTCCAACCACCCAAGAGTTAGAATTGCCACTTATGGGCGAAGATAGAAAGATTCTGAGAGAATGGCGCCTGGGCGAGATGTGTAGAGATCCAGAGAAAGAAGTGTGTTTATATGTGGAGGTGGGGATACGGGCAAGATGTGATTGTATGCACAAGAACTGGGGACATCTTTAGCCTGGGCCCACTTCAAGCATGGCATTCCTCTCATGAGCTGGGAGGTGGCAGAGCAGGGAGGCAAGCTGGCTTGGATAGAGCACTCATTCCAGGACCTCAGGCCCCAGTGACCACCTAGGAGTTGGTTTTGAATGCCCATTCTCTGACTTGGAAATAAAGCTGTCATCCTGGGCCATCTTTCCTCCTCTACCTATAATCACAACCTGAAAGGCATTTTATTTATTTATTTAAATTAGGTATATATGACAGCCGAATGAATTTTGAATCATTGTACACAACTGCAGCACAACTTTTTATTTCTGGTTAAAGGGGAATGGGGGGAAGGCATTTTTGGCACAATATGTCCTTTCTGACTTCGAGTCAATGGAATGCAAAGGAAAGCCTGAATGTCCAGCAGAAAAGAGACAATGTCTTGGATGGACAGTGGTGTGAATTAGGTAATTAATGCAGAGTTTGTAGAAACATCGGCAGTTTACTCATACTGAAGCAGACCAGGCGTCCCCGCCCCCCCCCCCCCAAAAAGACCCTTGCCATAATTAAGCTTAAGATTTTTACAAAGGGTGTTGACAAGATATCAGGAAAAATTTCTGCAGAGGGCTGAAATTGTGGTTTGTAACTTCCTCTTTCTTGTAAATGCCAGGTTTGCAGACTAAACTTGTGAAACTTCTGTCTAACCTAAGAATGTGGGACAAAGAGCAACTGTTTTGTACCCACCCACTGACATGTACCAACCCCACTGTGTATAAATCTAAAAGAATTTCCAGACTCAAGGTCCAGAGATTTTTAGGCATTAGCCCCTCTGGGCTGCAGCTGCTAAATAAACCTGCTTCCTGAAAATTCCTCAGGTATCTAGCTTCATCTGTACTTTGATCACTCACTCCACCCATAGGCAACTGCTGTTCCCTGATCTTCACTCAGTTTTAGTGCAACTTATTAACTTTGTGAGAGGCATTGTGGTTAGAGAATGTGATCGGCACCTTTCCATAACCAGGTGCTCATAGACTGCACTCTATCATAATTTGTCTAAGATGAACAAGGGAAGAAGGCCTGTGTGGCCACCCCTCCTGTCTAGAACAGGGGATGCCTGGAGTGCATAGGAGACTGCATGGCATGCCGGTTGAGCGACATGTTGTGCAAACAGAGCAAGGACACTGTGTACTAAATACAGACGGTAATTATGAGTGCTTTTACTTTGCACATTTTTTAAAAGAATAATTGTTAGCAAATGAGGCTAGAACAATTGGAAACCGTATGCAAAAAATAGGTGAATTTAGACTCTTCCATCTCTCATTTGGAAGTGAACTCAAAACAGATCATAGACTGTTACATCATAGTGGGTTCCCCAGCTTGTGTTGCCCACGTGGCATGGTAAGACATGGTATTCTCAGATGATTGGTTCTAAGACCCCCACAAAATTCATAGATTCTCAAGCCCCTTATATAAAAGAGCATTTACATAGAACCTATACAGGGCCTCCTCGGTAAATTATACCTAGATAACTTATCATACCTAAAACAATGTAAATGCTTTGTAAAATTATTATACCATATTATTTAGGAAATAAAGATTTTTAAAAGTGTACATAAATCAGTACAGATATATTTTTTCCACATATTTTTCATCCATGGATTCAGAACCCATGAATACCAAGGGCCAATTGTATTTTTTCCCAACTTTAAAAAAAAAAGGTGATAGAGCACTATTATTGCATAAACAATTTCACTCCTACTCATGTGTTGAGAACCATATGCATCTCTTCCCTCTCCATGTACCCTGAAAGCTGGGACAGAAGATTCCTTCTGGAACAAGAGATAACAAGCTTTAGGGATAGGGTCTAGATGTCCTGATCCTGTGAGGGTCTCTCTCTCCTGCTCTCCTGACTGGACACCACCAGAGTAGCCACATGTAGAAGTTCCTCCAGCTCAGACTTGAGGTGCCAGAGACAATAGAAGAAAGGCAGGGGGGCTCCGACAGGTGGAGTTTCCACTGCATGGGAAGCATGGCATGGCTGACTTCATTCATGCAGTCAAGAACCATTTTTAAAACTGTCTTATTTGTTATGAATGATGGACCTTTAGCTTTATGATTGATAGATTATTATTTCTTTTCTAAAACCAGTGGATTTAAATGACCCTTCTTTAACTGATGAAGATAAATGCTTATTTGTTCACATGTTCCAAAGTACAGGGGGGCCAATTCTATGAAGGACTGAAATAGCACCCCTGATATATACAGTATGCAAAAGACACTATTTACTTGTGTAAAATCAAATCAAACTTTTGAGACTAAGAAGTGTCTGAAATGAAGGGCTAATTGAAATAGATACAAGCCAAAGGGTAAAAGGACCAGTCCTGAGATACATTCCGTAAGTGGAAAGCACCATAGCCAGACAGCAGTCAGAAAAATGTCCCTGGAACTAAGGGCCAGGGCATGTTTTAATGAACTTTGTGGGGAGAAAAAAAATAAATTGCTACACTGAATCTATATGGGCTTTGGACAAGAAGGGCAGGACAATGCAAAGTCAGAGAAGTCCTGGGATGGGGTGAGTCCATAAAGAGGAGTTGCTGTTGCTTCTTTGTTCTAAAAGTAGAATGTCAAAGTGATGGCTGATGTCCAGCACACAGGAAAGGAATGGGGAGAAGTTTTTTTGTTTGTTTTGTTTGTTTTGTTTTGTTCTTTCTCTTTGTTGATTTAGCTTGAAGCTGGGAGTTAAGCTGGTTTCTCTGTTCTCTCTCCTCTCTCCATTATCTAGCCTGGAGCTTTATTTAGGTATCTCATCACTTGGGGAAAAAAAAAAAATAAGGTTTGGACACCCTTCCCTAATGGAGCAATCCGAAAGAAAACAATCAGCATGTTATGAAAAATATAAAGGCTTGCACTCACATCCTCTTCAACCCTTGAGGCCCCCACAAAAGGGAATGGAATTCAAATAAGCCAAAGCACCCTCTCTTGGCTCCTGAATATGGATAATTACATAAAAGAGCATAACCTGAAGGCAAAATTTAGAGAAATTTACATTTAATATTTGTTTCGCTGTCTGCTCCATCAATTCTATGGGCTAAAAATATTTTAGACACATTAATGCCCCTGTAACATGAACTGTCGATGTCGTTTTCTCACTATTCTACTTTCTCACTATCTACTTTCCTCTGAGTTTTAAGAGCAGCAGCAAAGGGAGATGAAATATTTCAGATGAGGCTACTCCTGAATTATTTAACAACCAAAATGCTTTAGGTTACATTTTGGCAGAGTATCAAAAGTGCACTCAGGATGTTCCTAGCATACTGCCCACTCAGGAAGGAGACAGGAGTCTGTTCTCATCAGTCCTTCTCTAGATAGGGTCAAGGAGAAAAGTTGGGAGAGAGAGCACCCTCCAAGCTCCCTAA